GGATAGAAGACCTCTCTCTCTCTCTCTCTCTCTCTCTCTCTCCTCTCTGTGTGTAACTCTTTCAAATAAGTAAAGAAAGAAAGATGCAACAATACCCTACAAGAAGGGAATGGTCATGTCTCACTGGTTCCTCATCTCCCTCTCCTACCTCCAGAAGCAGCAGTGCCGCATTTCTATTTAGCCACCAGAGCACCGTGAAAGACAAACTGTTAACTGCAGTGTCTACAGATGGCCCTTCTCCCCCCATGTCTTCCAAGGCCCAACTTCAAAACGGGTCCTGAAAAATCATGCTTCTTTTTCTATCATATTGGGAGACACTCCTAAAATGCATAGTATCATTTTATCACGCACATTTTTTTCTATCTGAACACAAAGTTTGACTGCCTGTGCTAAGAGCTCTATTGTAGAAAAAACTGGTCTGACATGAGGTTCCAGAATGCTGTTCCACCCTGCACAGTGCACTAAAACAGGGCACTACTGAAGGTCCACCCAAGAAGACAAGCACCAAGGTCAGCATTGTGCGAGGAGAAGGTCAGAGTGGGAATGCAGACAATAGGAGGGCAGAGAAAGGAGAGGAGAGAGGTGTAAGGAAAAGCCTGCCTAGAGGGCCAGTGCCATTGGCATAGAGGGTAAGGCTGCCACCTGCAACATGGCATCCCATATGGGCGCCGGTTCGAGTCCCGGAAGCTCCACTTCTGCCTGCACCTGGGAAAGCAGTGGAGGATGGTTCAAGTACCTGGACCCCTACCACCCAAATGGGAGACCTAGAAGAAGCTCCTGACTTCTGGCTTCGGCCTGGCCCAGCACCGGCCATTACGGCCATTTGGGGAGTGAAGTAGCAGATGGAAGACCTCTCTCTCTCTCTCTCTCTCTCTCTCTCTCTCTCTGTAACTCTGCTTTCCAAATAATTTTTTTTAAAAGGCTGTCTGGATAATCCCCAAAAAGAAAAAAAAAAAGAAGGAAAGAGAAGGGAATGGTAAATGATACAGAATGATATGGAACACAACAGAAAACATAAAATAAATGAAGGAACAAAGCAAGCAAAAAAAAAAAAATGCAAAACTACAAAAATCCTAAGAAACAAAGCCACCACACTCCAAAGCAGGAAATGTCACAAACAGCAAAATGGACAGAGAAGGAGGTGCCCGGGGCAAGGCAGAAAGCAAGCTTCCCCTCCCCCACTGCTATGGCCACCGGCTCCCCAGCCCTGAGGCGTCTCCTGCCCTGGCCCTCAGCTCCTGCTACCCAGAGATGGCCCCATGGCCTGTGTGGCACTGAGCTCGCAGCGCTGGAGCAGGCTGCTGTCCTGTGGGCTCTCTGGCACACAGTGAATCCCTAGAGGCCAGGGACCACGTCTTATTAATATTTGTAGCTCCATAGCCAGAGATAGTATCTAGAAACAGCAGATTATCAGTAAGTACTAAGAGAATGTACAGCGGCCAGCACTGTGGCCTAGTAGGTTAAGCCTCTGCCTGCAGTGCCGGCATCCCGAATGGGCACCAGTTTGAGTCTTGGCTGTTGCATTCAGAACCAGCCTCCTGCTAATGGGATGGAAAAGCAGTGGAGGATGGCCCCAGTGTGGGCCCCTGATCCCACGTGGGAGACCCAGAAGAAGCTCCTGGCTCCTGGGTTCAGATCGACCCAGATCCCGCCATTGCGGCCATCTGGGGAGTGAACCAGCACAAGGAAGATCTCTCTCTGTCTCTCCCTCTCGAAGTCTGTAACTCTGCCTCTCAAATAAATAAAAGAGAGAGAGAGAGCGAGAGAGAGAGAGAATGTATGAATACTTAAGGGGAAGCCACTCTACCATGAAGAGTTACCCAAACAGCAGAGGCATAGGACCTGAAGGCAGAGCAGTCTCAGCAAATGCGGGCCAGCCATGCCTCAGCATGGCATCCCTGGCTCCTGCTGCCCTGTGCAACAAGAAGCCATGGAAATGTCCCTGGTCGCAGAAATAAATGGCAAAGGCTCTGGCTCGAATTCCCTGCAGATCCTGGTTCCAATTCTGTGCCGACCTCCCCCTGCCGCTATGAGCCTGGAGCCTGAGCACCCTGCAAAATCAGACCGTGAACTTGTTCTGGATCTTCGCACCGACCGAGTCATCAGATTGTCAAAGCGCTTGCTGTATGAGCAACACGCTCTGCTTTCTGGACAGCCGAGGTCCCTGGAGACCACAACTGCCTTTAGAAAGAGCAGCTGCTCACTTATGTTCTCATCCAGTGCTGTACCTTCCCCCGGAAGAGTTCAGAAATCAAAAGGTCCTCAGATTCTGAGAAGGCGGCAGGCTCTGAAGTCAGTGCTGGCGAAGGGGCGGAGGGAGAGATGTTTACACTAATGCGTAACACACATACCTCCACGGCCGACCTGCCAACACGGCCTCCCCACTCTGTGCTTTGCCCTCGCTGCGCCTCGGGAGAAGCAGCTTCTGAAAGTCACATCTTGCACACGGCTGCTTCGGGCCCAAGCGGTCATGCATCTTGGACCCATTATGCAAGGACAACACGGCCCCCCGCCCCTGCTGAGAAACAGAAGCCGACTTGCTGTTTAATTGCTGCTTCTTCAAGAGGTGGGAATCTTCCGATGCCACAGCCCCTATTCCCAGCTGGAGCCCTCTTCACAGGGCTGGTTCCTTAACCGTCAGGCCGTGGAGATGGTTTCATTCGATTCAGCTGAGTGGCCGCCACAGGGGCCTCCTGGGTAGCGGATGCGACAACAGCTGCTTTGCCCATTACGATGTCCTGTTCTTGGCCTTTGCTTCGCTTTTCTCCCTCCCCGGCCATCTGATAGCCGGGCTGGTCTATGTGCAGAGGTGGGCGCCACCTCCTCTACAGCTCCCCCGATGACTCAGGCCCTGCTTGTAGGGGCTGGGCCGAGGCAGCTCCACAGACCTCAGTTGGACGAATGAGTGCAAGGAAACAAGACTCGGGCCAAAGACCTCCCCAGAGAAACCAGGTGGTGGGAGGAGAAGGCGGCTGGGAAAGAAGACAGTGTGGCTCCGGGGAGGGACTAGCCGTGCCAAATGGGTTACGGTGGAGGACGCCAGCTCCAGCCGGCGTGCGCCAATCCAGTCTCGGAGTGGCCATTTGGAAACAGCGGGGAGCACGAGCCCAGAGGTAACCACCCCCAGAAAGCTGTGGCTCCATGATAATGACAAAACAGGAGCGCGGCATGGATGGAGTCCCGGCCCCAACATGAGAGGAAGCGGTTCGCTTGGATGGTTCTTTTCCACCCAACCTCCTGTATCTGAGAAAGTTCAAGAGTCCTTAAATCTTCACAGGGCCTACTCACTCCAACACATTGCAAACCTCAGTGTTCTGAGTGTTCAGCTCACTTGAGATAGAATATCAGGTAGAGACTGCAAGCGGCAGATACGCATCCCCTGGTCTGGAGCCACCGCTCCAATCCCCATTGGCAGTATTCTTCCAGCTCTGCAGCTGGAGTCTCCCGCTGCTCCCCCACGGAGCTCTCACCACTTCCAGCCCAGCAAGGACAGAAGCCGCAGCCTTGCCGCTTGGTGGGGTCAGAGGCGCTTTAGTGAGGCCGGAGCACAAGCAACCTGGCCTGGCGCTCCATAGCATCCATCTGGGCAAACAGGTCACCCTCTGCTAACAAAAACACACCAGAACACTGGAAAAGTTCCAAGCCAAACTCCACTTGAAACTCCCGGTGGAACTTCGCTGCCACGAACAGGTGCCGAACCTCAACTGCCTTGCGCTGAGTGGTCTGGGAGCCCCTGAACAAGGCCCAGAAGAGACGGGTGTAGGAAGAGAGGCAATAAGAAAGGAAGAATGCTCCCCATTCTCGAGTCTGGCCTTTCCCTGCAACCCACCAAAAAGAAAAAGAAAGAAAGAAAAAGAAAAAAGAAACCCAAGGACCCCCTCCACTCCGTTCCAGCCTTTCCAAACCCAAGACAGAGAAAGGATAACGGACGGGTTACCAGGGAGAAATGTAACGGGCGCGGGCCTTGGGTCGCCTTCCAGTTCTCCAGCCAGAGAATGGAATACTCAGAGGGAGTGTCTGGAAGGACTCAGACGCCCCCCTCCCCCGCCCGCCCCCATACAGCCAGGGCGGACCAGTCGGCCCTCTCCAACGCTATCCTCACAGCGCCTCCTATCGGCCTGGATCGCGAACTGCGGCTCCGGGGCGGCGACTTCCTGGGCTCCTGCCCCTTGGCGCCAGATCCAGGAGGCGCTGATTGGCCGACCAAGCCAACACCTTCGGAAGGAGCCGGCTCTTGTCCAGCCACCCAAATGCACGTGAGCTGGAGCTCCCGCTGAGCCTAAGAGAGGGCTCTCCCTGGACGCTCCAAAGTCAGCAGGGAAATGAGTGGCACCAAGGGAATTCAGAACGCCACGAGCAGCGACAGTTAGGACAATGGGGCTATCTGGGTGCGAAGAGCTGACAGGTCAACTCACCTGCCTGGTGAAGAGGATGGCGGTGTCCCAGTACTCGGGGTGCTTGTCACTCACTTTGTTCATCTTCTTCTGCCAGGCGCAGAAGTTGCGCAGCGTCAGGGCGGCGTTGCCCGTGACCTTGGGCCCGCTGTCCCGGTCCCCAAGGAGCAGCACCTTGACCACAACGATGTTGATGGGGTTGAGGATGCTGGGGTGACGGTAGAGTCGCGCCGCCGTGGCCAGCAGCGTCAGCAGATAGTGCTCCAAGTCCGCGCCGTGGAACTTAACCATGGACTCGTCCGCCACCACCAGCGTCTCCACGTACCGTGGGATGGACACGAAGCGCTTGGCGCGCCCGGACCTGCGCCCGCTGCGACTCCCCCCCGAGCCCGTCCTCCGCGGCTTGTACGGGTCCAGGGCCCGCAGGATGGCGGGGTTCCAGCCGGAGCCCACCCCACAGCGCGAGGTGCGGTCTCCGGGAGGCCCGCCCGGGGCGCCCCGGCGCTGGAGGAGGTGTGCGCCCTGGCTGTTGCGCTGCGCCGCGGGCGCGCTGGCGTTGGGCAGCGGGCTGATGACATACTCGGCGCCTCGGTAGCCAAAGGCTCCGCGAAGCCCCCCGCACAGGCTCACGGCGGCGAACGAGTCTGGCTCGGCGTTCACGTCCCCGGAGTACAAACAGCGCCGCAAGTCCGCAGAGTTCGCGGTGAGCTCCCGGAGCGGGGCGCCCAGGTGCTCGGTGGTGAAGGTGGGTGCCAGGAACTGAGCATCCGGCGTCAGGTGTAGGTAAAAGTCCTCCTGAAAAGCGGTGATCTGAAAAATAAGTCCCCGGTCCCCGGGGTCCTCGGGCCCCCGACGGTAGTAGTGGCGGCCGTTGATGTCCGGGTCCAGTCGGATGGGGACGACCACCTCCCGCTCTGGCTGGGAGCCGCCAGCGGCTCGCCCCGCCAGAGCCAGGGTCAAGATGCCCAGCAGCAGCATGGCGCCAGGCAGCGCTCGCCGCGCTGTCTGGGAAGGAGCTCGCCTCGGCTCCCCGGCCGCGGGCACGGTCTCCGTGCAGCCCGCACGCCGGAACCCACAACGCCCCGGGACTGGCGGCAGCTCCCAGAAAGGAGAGCCAAGGAGGACGACTCCTCCCCGAGCAGCGAGCGTGCACCGGGCAGCCCGCGCCTCCTACCTGTGCCTTTGCAAGCTAAAGCGCGCTCGGCTCGGGGAGCGTTAAGTGCGATCGCTGTCAAGTGCAAGGACGGAAATTTGCAGCCGCGAGAGCTAGCGGGAGGTGCCGGGCGTCCTCTCGAAACCGCAGCCACTCGCAGCGCAGCAAACCGGGCGCTTGGCGAGCCTATTAAAGGCCCCCTCCTCTTTGGACTGCCCAGTCCGCGCCCCTCCCCTCGCTCCCACCCCCACCCCCACCAGCCTCCCAGAGCTCTCGGCCTGGAGCCTCCAGGGGCCACCGGAGAGCTCGGTCCCGCCTCCCGAACCGAGAAACACTTGGCGGGGAGGAGTGGCGTTCGCTGAGGCTGGAGGCGTGGGCTGGCGGGAGAAGCCAGCGCTGGAGTCTTGGTTTAAGTTTTGCCCTGGGCTATGCCCCCAGTGCCCCGGGGACATCGCTGACTTCTACCCGGGCCTGTATCTGGGCGCTCCTTTGTGCTTGCTTAGGCTTTATCTTGAAGCAGTTGGGTCTGGAGTTAGGAACGGAGCCCCACAATTGACCCCTCTCCCAGGCCCACCTCGTTCTTGCAGTTGCAACATTCCTGCTGTTTCTCAATCCCAGTCCCCTAAAAGACCTAGAAGCAAGAACTGCCCTCCCCAGTAGGAATCAGTGCCCTATCACCCCAAGAGCCACTTCCCAGGAAGTGGTGAGCAGCTCTCGAACCCAGGGCCACCCAGGCCCACTGACTACCCCTAGGTAGGATGGCCGTGTTCTGATGGCCTGGTACATTTTCAGGAATTTTGTCAGCCAGCTGCCAAACACAGCCATTATTTTCAAATACGTTGTAGAAACCTACAATTAAGCAAATTAGATTTTACAACAAAGGCAATCAAAATCCTTCGCTTCCTAATTATTGGACTATTTCCTATGGTCTTGAGTCACTAGAACCACAAACCTTCTGGGTCAGCCCACAGAACTCCCAGCTACTCTGCATAGGGACATTACAAGGGTGCTTTGTTGAAGTAGGTCCCTGGTAGAAGTAATCCCACCGCCTAAACAGGCAACTGCTACCCGTGGGAGCTTGGGGAGGGGAGACGAGCCCTTGTTCAATATTGGCCAGCACCCCAGGGATGCAGAGAGCAGGTGCTGAGGCTGTGGATGCCAGGGAAAGGGGTTATCTTCCTGCCAGGGGAGAGCGGAGGATTATGGACAGGAGAAAAATCAAGCAGTGCCACCTCCTTGAGATGGTCTCCCTTGATCCCTGACCAGAGTACTGGACAGGTCGCTGGAGAGGAGGGCGAGTGTGGATCAGGGAGAGAAGACACAGCGGAGCCATCAGACCCTATCGAATTCCTGTCTCTGGCTCTGGATCTCAAGACCCTTCTGTCTCCATAGACAAGGAGGAAAGGCAAGGAGGGGAAGGCGGCTTTCTCAGACCCTCCTGACGCCGAGCAAATCTAGAACCGAAGGGTTCCACGTTGCATTTGCAAGAAGAGAGGACAGGGGAGGGAAGTGTGCAAGGATTTGAAGCACAAAAGAGGGCGGTGTGGAAGAATTCTAGAATCTTCTTAGGGAAGTGGCTGCTCCAAGAAATCACACTATTGCTGAAGGAGAGAGAAGCTAAGACTGGACCGTTAGTGACAAGCACGTTTCCTCATTCTCCTCATAAAGGACACACTCTTAAAAAAAAAAAAGACTTATTTTATTTATTGGAAAGACAGAGCTACAAGAGGGAGATAGAGACAGAGAGAGAGGTCTTCCATCCGCTGGTTCACCCCCCAGATGGCCACAATGGCCAGAGCTGTACTGATCCAAAGCCAGGAGCCAGGAGCTTCTTCCAGGTCTCCCACGCGGGTGCAGGGGCCCAAGGACGTGGGCCATCTTCTGCTGCTTTCCCAGGCCGTAGCAGAGAGCTGAATCGGAAGTGGAGCAGCCGGCACTAGAACTGGCACCATATGGGATGCCAGCGCTTCAGGCCAGGGCGTTAACCCGCTGCACCACAGTGCCGGCCCCTAAAGGACCCACTCTTAGAAGAGACCCCCAAGAGTCTTGGAACAGGAACTCAGTGCAGATGTCCATACTCTCCTGGGTCTCTCCTTGATGGAGACACAAGGAGCTGAAATTCATTATGCTAATGAGGAGGAGATGGAAAGGATGCAAAGGAAAGGGGGCGTTGCATTTGGGGGGCGCACCTGTGAGAGGGAGGGAGTCCCAGTTCACAAAGACCCCGTGTGTTGGAGTGTTCAAACATCCAGGGCAGAGACAAGTCACTTACTTAGGGCAAGCAATCTCTTTCCTACACCCGGCAGCCGTAATGGTGGGTTACAAGGTATCCAGCGACATTTTGCTCCTATTCCCATCGATGGGTTTTGGCAAGGACATCAGTCACAACAGCAGGCCCAGGGATCGGAAGCCTCTATCCTGTACATGCTCCTTGCTTGCTGGCCCTCGCTCACAGCCCCTCCACTCTCAACCCTGAGCACAGAAACCGGCCCTGTGCACTGCGCCAAGGGTTTTGTTTGCACCATCCTCTGTAATGCTTGTCTCTCCTCTCTTGGGAACTTGCTGCTCCATCCAATCACCTTTGCCAGGGCTTCTAACTCAGATTGAGAACACTTGTAGAAGTCTTGTAGACTTCTTGTAGAGATCTCTGATCTCCTTCTTGGCCTCTGAATTTCTTTATCTGCAAAAGAGAAGGGATTATCCCAGATCAGAGGCCTGTACCAGGAATCTCTGCTCTATATAACATCTAAGATCAGTTCCAGATCAAATATCTGGGGCCAGCATTGTGGCCTAGTGGGTAAAGCCTAGCCTGTGATGCCGGCTTCCCACATGGGCCCTGGTTCATGTCCTGGCTGCTCCACTTCCAATCCAGCTCCCTGCTAATGCACCTGGAAAAAACAACAGAAGATGGCCCAAGTGCTTGGACCCCTGCTACCCACATGGGAGCCCTGGAAGAAGCTCCTGGCTCCTGGCTTCTGTCTGTCTCAGTCCTGGCTGTTGTGGCCATCTGGGGAGTGAACCAGCAGATAGAAAACCTCTCTCTCTCTCTCTCTCTCTCTCTCTCTCTCTGTCTCTAACTCTGACTTTCAAGTAAAATGAATCAATGTTTTAAAAAAAATTTACATGACTATTTGAGCCTACAGAAGATAGCATGGTTTGAGGATTAAAAGCCCAGGCTCACTATAGCAAACATCCGGGAGAAGTTTAGGAAAGAGGAAGGTGTATTTCAGCCAACGTTTTTGGAGATTCACAGTCCAAGATTGAGTGAGTCCATAGGTCTGGAAGCTGGTGCAGGCCATAGCTGACAGAATGCATGTGGTGTGCAATCAGATCATGCAGTTAGCCAGAAAGCAGAGAGAGCCTGGGGGGCATAGCCTGTCCTTGCAAACCCCGCATGATTTGATCCTGGGGCTCCTCCCTAGAAGCCTAGCCCAGTCTGACCACTTCCCCAAGGCCCTGCCTGGAGACACTATGACTGGATCAAGCCTCCACCCTCTTTAGCACCATCAGTCCATGACCCGGGGGCTTAAGCATCAGCCTGAGTTGGAGAGCCAAACCATGTCCAACCTCTAGCCGCATCCGTCCACCAGATCTGAGCTGTGTTCTCTTGTGTAAGATACTAACCTTCCTTAAGCCTCCGTTTTCTGATTGTTGACTAGGCATTTGGTCTAGTGGCTAAGAGGCCAATTAGGATGCCTGCAACCCATATCACAGGGCCTGGGTTTGGATCCCAGATCTGGCTCTCAATTCCAGATTCCTCCAAATGCAGGCCCTGGGAGGCACGGGTGATGGCTCAAGTACTCGGGTCCCTGCCACCCACATGGGAGACCTGGATTGATTTGACCTATGCCAGCAGTGCCTGCTGCAGACATTCAGAGAGTGAGCGAGTTAATGAGTGTTCTCTCTCTCTCTCCTCTCCCTTGCTCAATTAACTTTTTAAAAATAAATTTAATACATTAATTAAATGGGGTTAATAATACTACCCACCTCTTACAGACATTGTCAGGATCAAATGAGCTAATGCTTCCAAAGTGCTTAGCAGTGCTAATACGTAAGAAGTTTCCTAAAAGGTATCTAACAGTACTGCTATGTTTTTATTAGCTATTACCATTCTTCCTACTCTGAGACCTAACCAGGCAGGCCCTCCGACATGAGTGCCACCATCATCATCCCAAGCTTTCTGGTATTCCTATCAGGACAAGGAGGAAAGCTGATGGCGGTCCCCTCTCGGCTCTGCTCAGGGACCTCCACCATGCTCATAACCCACTTCCATGCAAAGGCTCCACACCTCTCACACTCCTACTTCTTTCTGTCCTCCAGGATCTGAAGACTCTTGGGAAAGAAAAAGCAACGGCCTGGACCATTCTGTCACCTCTGGACAGCTCAGCTGGGCCTTGTGCCCTTCACCAACCAGGCTGGCCTCCTCACCTGCTTCAGGCCTCAGCCCTCAGGCGGCCTCCTTGGGACTGACCACCCAGTCCCAAGCCACAGTCCGCATGTTTCATCTTGCCCATAGCACTTTCCTCTCTCTAAACCTACGTATGCTTGAATCTTGGCTTTTTTATCGACCTATGTCCCTGCCCCCACTGGAATGAGAGCAGGACCTAGTCTGTACTGCTGCCTCCTCCATAGCAGCGACACTCCAGGACCCCTAGCGGATGCCTGGGACTGCAGGTAGGTCCAAACCCTTGCTATACTGGTTTTTCCTGTACAGGCATACCTAAGATAAAATTTACTTTATAAATTAGGCACAGCAAGAGATTAACAACCATTAGTGACAAAACAGAACCAATTATAACAATACACTGCAATAAAAGGTATTTAAAACTCGGGATTTGGGGTGTGCATTTGTCCTAGTAACGAAGATGCTAGTTGGGATGACTCCCAGCTCCAGCTCAGGAGTCCAGCTTCCTGCCAATGCAGAGTCTGTGGGGCTCAATGGTTGGGTCCCTACCTCTCCTGGGGAGACTTCTATTGAGTTCCCAGCTCCCAGCTTTGGCCCTACCCAGCCCCGGCCAGAAACCATGGAATGTCCATGGGTGTCTCAAACCACACAGACAGTGAAACCATGGATAAGAGGCACCTACTGTGTGCACTGCAGGCCTGACACAGTGCTGGGCACCCAGAGGCTCCCCATAGGTACTGAACAAACAAATCAATCCTATTCTAATCTCAGCTTGATTACTCAAAAGCTTTGGACAAGATACTTCACATCTAAAAGAGAAATGAGGCCATCTCAGACTCGTGGAGCCCAGCGCCAACATTGCCTTCACCTCCGACAGAAACCTTCGCCCAAAGCCCAGCCACCCAGCCCACTGCCCCCACTTCAGAGCTGAGGCGGCTGAGAACCAGAGAGATAAAGTGATTTGTTTAAGGCTACCTGGCCAGAAGTTTACGCCTCTCCCTTCCCTCTTTCTCTAAAAGCCGACTCTGGCTACTTGAATCAGCTTGGCTGCCTCTGCTCAGAAGCCAGTGTTTCTGCAGGTGTAAGTCACTTCCCCGTGGGGGTGCCCTGGCAACCTCGGTGGTCCTCGTGTCCAGATCTTGCTTACTCACCATCACCAGGGCCGAAGACAGCTTCTGCCTCTCTGTAAAATCAAGCACCTTGAAGAGTCTCCCCCACAATGCGGGCAAAGAATTAGAGAGAAACACAGGAGGAGAGGGTGAACAAGCCCTATGGGCTAGGCAAGATTTAACGAGGAGGGATTAACTGAAAGAAGTCGCCCAACTCCTCAGATCGGATCTTCTAAGTTGCTGGCTCACCACATTGGGATTTAAATCGGGTTTTGCCCAGCATCACCAAAACAGCTTTATCATTCTTATGCTTTATCATTTTTTATGCCTTATCGTACCTTTATCATTTCTATGCCTTTATCGTGCTTTGTCAAAGATCCCTCAAAGTTCCAAATGTGTTTAATCTGCTCTAAGCGCGACCTGCACCACAGAAGTGAGCAAAGCAGAGACCTTGGAGGCTCACGGAGCATTAAGTGCTGAGCTGCCGCCATTCAGCCACTGAAGGTCATGGTCAGTCTCCTCTCAGCTCTGGAGGCGGCTCAGGCACCAAAGGTCCCATGGTTACAGCTCTGAGCCCAGGTCCATTCTTCACTGCTGAGCAGAAATACTTGCCTGTGTTTCTTGCCTCCCAGCCACCTGCTGATTTTTCTCTGAGGCTAAGAATTTCTGTAGCAGTCCCTCTGCATTGGGCTCCTGTACCTGGTCTCTTGCACGCTGGGAGGTTGGGACAAAGGTTCTGATCCAGCTTGAGCAAGTACAAAACAGATGATTCCATGCTATCTCCTTCTCCCACCATCATAATATCAGCCACCACCTTATCTCAGGCTCCCTCACCGCACCATGTATGTTATAGATTTACATACACACACCCACTGTGAGATGCCTGGTACTCCAGCTACTTCAGGGTGAACACCTACAATGGAAAGGAAGTAAGTATTAAATCGTCAACGCTTGTCTAGGGATTTAAAACGCAAGTTTTTTCTTCTACCACACAGTCTTCCATCTCCTCTGCTCCTCTGAGTTGCCCCTTCCCTGATTAGCACCAACATCTGCAACAGTAGCTTCAAGGTTGAGCTTGAACCTGCACCCAGCAGGGGCGAGGGCCCGCCTCCAGACTCCTGCTTCATAGGGTCAGACCAGGCTCCAGGATAAAACTCGTGACTGCTCCCGAGTGCCACAGTTTCTCCTGGCAGCCCATTCTGCAGCCTGATAAAATGCTTGACACACGCAAGCGATCATATGCTTTATAAATAAGCTCAGATATATATATGTATGTATGTATATCATCTTGCGGTATTGTCACCAAAACCCTTGGGGTGGGGAGAGAGGCGGGACAAAAATTGCTAGCATCTCCACTCCAGGTGGGAACTGAGGCTTAAAGAGCCTGGGTAACTGACGAGAGTCGTTTAGTGAGCAGTGGACGTTAAGACCAGAGCTTTCACCCTGGGATAAGTTCCAGCCCCAGGGACTCCTGCGACCTCCTGGAAGACCACCCCATTCCCACTTCCATTTTCCCATTCTCCTTCACACCAAGGATACACCCCATCGTGTCCCGTTATACAGTCCCCATCACAAAAGGCTCTCTCCCATTTCCCTTCCATCCACGCACCCCTCACTCTCCTTGAACATGTTCTCTTGAGATCGTTCAAATAAAAACCCAGTGATGGCCCTTAAGCTGAGCCTACTCTGGGTCAACAATTCACTCAATAGCCCTAAAATGACTTGGCCTGTGGTCTTTGGAACTTCTACAAGAAGCCGCAGGAAACATGCACAGCGGGTATTGCTTAATTTGTCTTTAATTGAAAGAGCAGGTCTTGCATTGTCTCTATTTTTACTTCCCTCCCTCTGGGGCTATGACACTAAAGGTGTCTCATTGGAGGTTGGCATAGTCCATAAGGAGACCTTGGAGATGCCATAAACACTGCGGAACCTCCTTCCTAAAAAACACCCAGGCTCATGCCTGCAGGGAGTCTTCCCCATATCTGGGAGACCAGTAACCCTTCAGAACCCCGTTCTTCAGCTCGTAAAGGTTTAGCAAGGAGTTGCCAAAATATCTGAAAATCAGTAAGGACTGTGCCAGACCCCAAACCTACAGCATCAGCCGTGCTGTGGCCAAGAAGTCGGGAGCAAGGAGCCGTCTCACTCACCACCCAACCCGGACTGGCGAGCCAGGGCCCAGCCCAGCTCTGCTTGAGGCCAGATTGTACGGGGGTGCAAGCTCAATGACCCAGCCTGCTGGAATTTGGACTTCCTGACTTAGGAAGAAGGAAGGATGTCCTTGTGATCACTAGGAGCGACACGTTGAGTCCGCAGAGGGAAGAGCAGGACTCGGGACTCCTGTAATTAGAATGACACAGTGCTCACTTCAGCAGTTTGCAATGCATTTGATTTGCTCTGCCAAGAAAAACCAAGGTGAGCTGCAGACGCTTGCTCCTTCATTGAGGTGAGATTAGGGGGTAGGCATCCAGCTGGTGGAAGCCCAGGGCGCAAGCCCTCCCTGCCTGCACCCCGCTCCTCCCCACCTGCCCACCGCACTGCCATCTGCTGCTCTCAGACTGACTCCTCAAGAATCCTCAGTGTCCTTTCTCAGAACGGCTGCCAGCATCTTTATTTGCACTCAGATGGAAAAAAAAAATTGACGACAGCTTTAACATGTTTCCCATTGGTCTATACTTACACTTAAAAGGATCAGCGTCTGCTGGTTCGAGTCCTAGTGGCTCCACTTTCTGCTCACGTGCCTAGGAAGGCAGCAGAAGATAGCCTGAGTGCTTGGACCCCTGCTACCCTTGTGGGAGACCCAGATGGAGTTCCTGGCCCAGACCTGGTTGTTGCGGCCATTTAGGGAGTAAAGCAATAGATGGAATATTCTCTCTCTCTCTCTGTCTCCCTCTCTCCCTTTCTCCCTCTCTCCCTCTCTGTCACTCTGCCTTTAAAATAAGCAAATAAATCTTAAAAAAAAGAGGGGAGGAGGGAGAAAGTAGGCAGGGGAAAGACCTTCCTTGGCAGAGTTGCCTTTAACAGTTGCACAGGTTGTGCACAATGCAACCCTGGGGGAGCAACCTCATCAACAAGGGTCACCCCCCGGAGCGCAGGCACAGCAACTGAGTCCACCTGTTTGCCCTGCTGCTCTCCATAAGGCTTCTTCCTGAACCCCATAAGGCCATGATGAGAGGGTACCATGGGGTGAGCTATGCCTCAAATTCTTAGGCTGGCATCTCCCTTACAGATGGTTCACAGAACACCAGCCTCCCTCACCCTCTCCTTTATTAATCCAATCCATGCTCGTGGCCGACCTGCGGGCTTCCTGCTTCACCCTGGAGGTGGGGAAGTGAGTGGGCCACCAGAGTGAGCCTCGTGCATGGGCCGAAAAGGGCAACGAAATTTATGCATCTGTGACCCAGGATGCGTGTGGCTGCAGACCACGGCTGACTCTGGTCTTTAAGGACACGGGAAATGCAGGACAACCATGCTACTGGAGTGCTGAAAAAGCACAACATCCTCCTGGGTGTGGCTCCCGCTGCCGGAGCCAGGCTGCTCTGGCTGCTCTGGCTGCCCTGGCTGCAGCCCACCCGACCTGCGCAGTCCCCAAGGCACCCAGCATGCCTTGTGCTTCTTACTTGGGCTCCCCGGTGCCCTGCTGAGAGCTCCCATGCCATCTCCTTCGCAGAGGTTGTACATTCTGCCTTCCCCCACTTCCTGCTCCCTACACCTGTGCACTGTCTCCCTTGTCACTGCCAGCAGCCCTGAGGTGACAGTAATGTTAGTGATGTCCCTTCCTAAGCCAACCCGGCAGGAGCAGCCCAGCAACTTGTCCAAGGCTTTCAGCCTCTCCAAAAGCCAAGTCACTCCGAGGAAAGACCCCTTCCTGCCTCCCCCTTTTTCTCTCTGACCCAACCAGGAATCTCTGCCTTCGCAACAGTGCATCCCACCCTGACACCGTGGCTCAGCCGACCAACACCAGAAGATACTGTAGAGCACAGGCCACAGAGGGGCGGGAGTCAGTGAAGGAAAACCCTGGGTGCTCACAGCTTCTGGAAAGGAACTCAAGTGTCAGGGAGAAAGCAACAGGAAGAATGATGATGATTGGCAGGTTCACCTGTGCTTTGGAAAGGTGAAGAAAGAGAAAAGCAGAGTGATGGGGAGAGCTGAAAAGATGGGTAGAATTCTAACAGGAAACGAAGGGGAGCCCTAATTTCACAGCCGTCGCTAGAGCAGAATGCAATTGCACTTTATCCCGTATCAGTATTTGGTTCCCGAATTCACACTCCTGGCGTCACCACAGCCCAGCTCCGCACACGTGCACACCTCCACCAGGGTA